GTTTGTCAGGAAGAGAGACTGTGTTGTCCCTTCACTCAAGTGGAATTCTTCCTCCTTTTATGAGCAGCCTGCAAAATCTGAAGCTCTCACCAGTTACAATAAAAGGTGCTGTGGGGGCTGTGCTCCATTTTCTAAGCTAATAAGCACAGAATTCTTCAATGGGTTGAATTTGGCTTTTCAAGAGCACAGAAATAGTCACACAGCTTTGTGTGAGTGGGTACAACCAAGATCCCTTCTGCCAATTTTTATTTGTGTATTGTGAGTGGGCATTGAAAACACTCAAATACTCAGGAGAAATCTTGAAACTATTCTTGCAGAGTTCTGCACAGATTTATTGGGTTTTTTTAATAAGGCACCTAAATCTTTTCTCTCTTCTACATTCTGAGTATGTTAAATTGAAGCATAAATCTCACTGTTTTCCATTCACATTCTCTCTTTTTGTATTCAAGAGTGAAGTAAATACTGTCTCTTTCCCAACTTCTTGATCTTCAAATCCTTTCTTTTTCTTCATCTTTTTCTTAGTCTGCTACTTTTCTTACCATGAAGAAGCCTGAAAATTTCAGTGTCCACTTTTTCATCCCACAGTGGTGTTCTTTACATCACACATCTTTGTGGGGACAGAGGGGCTGTACTACAGAGGCAGTGAGTGACATGCCTAGCACCCTCTGTAGTGCATGGCATAAGGCAATGAAAAGAAGCTTAATGACACTTCTGTTAAACAGTGTCATTATCATGTGCTCCTTTGGAGCACATCACTCCCCCTGAATGGATTTATGTGGTCCATTGGAGAGGAATGTTTCCACTATTCTGTCTGGAAGCTCAGTTGTAGAGTGCATTTCTGTCTGTGGGCCTGGCCACACCACTGACCCCAGCTGTGGGACTTGCCAGCCTCACCACACAAGCTGTGCAAGGAGGAAAGCTAACTTAATTGCTCTAAACCCAACAGGATTAAATATGTTCTATGTCTTGTCAGACTGTCCCAGGGGAGCTATTGGGCACATTGTTCATACTGAGAAGGGCATTCTGGCTGTCGAAAAAAATAAAGTTTTGATTCCTCCTCTTTGGAGCAAAACATTCTGCTGGGGATTTGAGGACTTCACCTGCTGCTTTGGCAACTATGGGTCTGAGAAGGTAAATAAGAAAAATTCTATGAAGAAAAATAAATTAATGATATGTTGTGGTCTTTGGCTGGTTTAGGCGCCCATTTCAGAGGCTACTGGGAGCTGGTTTCAGGGGATGTTGTACAGGACCTCTCACAGTCAAGCTTCTCAAGGTGGATATCCCAAGAGAGTACAAAGTCATTCTACACTGCTCAAAAATATGGCATTTCCTCTCTAAATTACCTCTAGTTTTTCTTCCAGAGACTCTGCTGTCCGGCAACAGAGTCTCTGGAAGGAGAAACCCCATTTCATAGATTGTAAGGACAATACAAGGTCTACTGGCCACTGATTAGAAATTTCATTGTGCAGAACTTTCTGCTGAAATTAAAATAGGACCATCTGTCAATTCCCCTCTAGCTCCTAAGCTGAGCCCAGTGCATTCATTCAAAATAATGATGCCTTCTATTCTAGAAAGTTAGTACTCTTACTTCTTTACTGTTAAAAATCAACACACTGATTTTTAGATGTGTTTGGGACAATGTTATGACATGCAAAGACACTGGAGTTAGCTTGAGTACCACAATAGCAGATCATGTCATTCGGCAAGATACTGACTTGGGTATTTGTGGAAGCCACACCATTGTGTTTTTAGACATAATCACAGTCAATGGAAGTGATAAAGCCATGAGGCATATTTTACCTTCTGCTCCCTAAGTGAAATTATTGAGAGCTTTCTCCACTGATTTCAACTACACTCAGTGCTTAGCAATTCATAGTGATGCTGTAGGTATAAATTATTTGTTTTGGCTTTTCAAATGTCAGGGTGTCATTGAGCCTAGCGACACTGAGCATAGCGAGTGTGATTACACAGTCACTGTGAGAAGTAGTTGAGAGTCCAACTTGAGTTCCCTTTCTATCAACTGTGCCTCTGAACATGAGCTTAAAATAAATTTTGGTCTTCTTTGTAAGTAGTAAAGGTGTGTTCTGTCTGTGGTATGAGTTTTGTAGCTGTGCCATCCAGCCCCGCCAGAATCATTTGTACCATAGTGTTGCCCCCATTTTGTGGGACAGAGCTAATGAAGAATACGAGCAGAAGGATGTTTGTGCTATTGTGGCAATGTGTAATAGACCTGACCTTGGTTTAAGCTGATTTGGGTGCTGCTAATGGAGCCGTGGCGCAGAATGGAATTTAATGCTTTGGCTTTTGGTTTTTCAATTAAAGTAAGAAAGAGGAGGATTGCAGAGCCAGGCACTAGTTCTGTTAGCAGTGGCCATCACAGCTTGAGCGTTCTCTTTAATTTACACTGAATGTTTGCATTCTGTCACTATGTGGTGGCCGAATGAGCTTGCCTGATGTCATGGAGGAAGTCTGTGGCACAAGAGGGATGGGACTCAGGTATCCTAAGACATAAGACACTGACTTTCGTCCAGCCTTCCTTTTTGGCCAATGGAGGATGGCACAGCTGCATGCAGCCACAGACTGTGCATGTACCTATTATACAGCTGTGCTGTGAGCAAAGAGACTGGTTAAGATGAGCTTTTCTTTCCTGGATTTGGAGAAATGGAGGCTCAGTTCTGAAAATTGAATCTACCCTTTGGTGTTAATAAATGCATGGTATCACCAGATGATCACTGGTCTTAAAGCTACTTTCTCATGCAGAATATGACTACCTTTGAGAGCATGGCAGATTGGGGAAAGTGCCTCTGCGCTGTGTGTCCTTCAGCAACTACAATAATCACATCTGGAACAAGTTCAGTTGTGTGTGTCTGGGAATTTTCCTTGGTCAAGGACAAAGTGAAATGTCTGAACCTGAGACAGGTCAGTACTGTGGTTCTTTTGCTATAGAAACTCAATGAAAGTCAAACGATTTGTTTCTTTCTCTTAGATGACTGGCAGAGGAAATACCTTTGGATGAATCAAAAAGGCAGAAAATAAGCTACTCAGCAATATTATGTGACAGCCTGTTGTCAGGACAGGAGCTGATAATATGCCTTATTCCCACCATTTATACTTATGAACTCTGCTTGGGTTTTGGTTGGTTGCTTTTTATCCTGCCTTTGGTAGCATTTCCAAAGTTTATTATGATCACAGAAACAGTGATGTTAATATGCTCTCCTTACTTGAAATGCAGCAAACCATTGGATTACTTTTAAAAACCAGTATCATCTGGAAATGCTGCTAGTTCTTTCTGGTCTGCTATAGCAATGGACAGGATGTCCAAAACACCATATGAACTTAGCTGATGAAGATGAAAGCTCAGCTAGGCAAAGATCTTGATTCTTTTCCCTCAAACTGAATTCAGAACATAAAAAGTTTATCTGTCACTTCATGAGGTAGGGATGCATCCAATAAGAATGATATAGCTTGTGTCCTCATTGTCCAATGTCCTTTAGTTGTTGTTGATTTAAAGCTCATCTATAGTCATCAAACAGCTGTATAAATGTTATTTCAGCTGCAAAAGCAAATCCTCATGCAAGGTTTGTGTGGTGTAGCTATTGTGAGTACTCAGCTTTACCAGTAAAGCTAGAGTACACCTCTATTATAACTGAAAGGCAACACGGGACCCTTTTTCCCTAAGAAATCAAGAGACAGAAAACACTTTGCTACTTTCAGGTGAATTAATAAAGGGTTCACTGATCAGCAAGTTCTCCCAGTGTTAGAAGCTTCTTCTGTGCATTTGCTCTGGAGGGATATTCAGACATTTCAGTGCTTTCTGTAACCTGAGCCAAAACATATTTTATTTGTCATTAAATGGTGTGAAGACTTCAATGTCTGTTGGGATGCCAGAGAAGGATTTAGGTCTTCATTTATCTGAAATTCTTGTGTGTTGAAACTGGGGAGGTGAATTGTGTTTAGAGCAGTCTCTCTTCTGAGGTTTATGATGTTTCCTGCTTGAGAAGAAGCCAGAAATATGAGACAAGATCTTCAGTGATGACCTTTTAACCAGCTGATTATTTTTCCAAAGCAGGACATAGACATAGAAATGGAAGAAATAGCAGTAGAGAAAAGCATAGGCAGTAATCTTCTTCAACATCAAGATGATACCAGTCAAGGGGTCAGTTTAGTTTCAGGCAACTGTTTGAAGAGGTTGTATTTTACCTCCAGTATAATGCCTTTCTCTTTAACAATCTAAAATCAGCTTTGCTGATGTGTTCCGCTGTGATTAATCTGTTATTAACCAAAGTCCACAAAGTGGAATGAGATCATTCAATGACAAATACTGTATCTTTCATTCTCTTTGCTAGCAGAGGCTTTTTTTGATGACCATCTAGCATGGATGTAAATTTGAACTATGTTTCTATATGCCTTCCAGTGAATTACTTGCTGCTTTCACATAATTCACTGTTTTGTGGTGGCTGCTTTTTCTGCTGAACAAAAAAATTATATCATCTTTCCTGAGAGAGTGAGTTTTGCTTAAGTAAAGCTGATGTGCTATAAAGTGGATGGTATTCACTTACCAGCTGTCTCATGGGGCTGGCACATTCTGGTATGAAATGTAGTAAAGTACAGAAACTATATTTCAGCAGAAAAAAATGACTTCTTTTTTTCCCCCTTTCTAGCAGGGGCTGCTTACACTGTTTTGTAGAATACTAAAGATTGAGCATAATAGCCTCAGTATTGATCCATGCGATTTACCAGTCCCCTCAGTGTTCATGAGCAGAGCAATATGTGCAATCCAGACCCCAGAATTTCTGAGCCAAATGAAACACTAGACTGGGAGAAGCATCTGGGTGAGATGTGCTGTCTGCCACACAGACCTCTGAGGGACGTGTTGAACATAGCTGTGAAGTGTCTGCATCCAAGTCAGCCGGTTAAGTTGGATGGTCAAACTTGGTTTAAGTTTTCATGAACTAAGCATTCTGCAGTGAACCTGGGATTTCTCTATCTTTTGCTATTTGTGAATTAACTCTGGAGATGGGCCTCACAGTTCTTTCTGCAGATATGCTGCAGAATATTTCCCATTGGGGGAAAACCTGTCACTCTCTGCAGAGCAATAATGAGAAAATGGTAGACAGCTAAAAACGTGCAGTAATTAATGCATGAATATGCATTGAGGCACTGGTGGATTGAGCTGAGATTATAATTGGGCTCAGGTCTAGTGCTCTCTTCCACATTCAGCTTGTATTCAAAGGACTTCATTGCCAGGTAGGATCTTACTGGCTTAAAAAAAGAGGAAGAAAAGGAGCTTAATTAGAATTGTGCAGGAGCTTAGCTTGGCTTGACTTGGCAGGTTGGATGCTGTCACAGTGGGTATGTTTTCTTTCATGCTTTGGAGGAAGGAAAGGAAATTTGAAGCCCTTGAACCTGCCTTGTCCCAGCTCTTTTTGCAGAGATCTTGTAGAGTTCTTGAGCACAGGCACTGGGTTATACCCAGTCCTTTGTAAAGAGACTGTTCTACAGCCAATCCAAAGACCCTATTTTGTGCCATGATCTTTAGTCAGCATTTCTTGCAAATGGAATAAATCACAAGCTGAAATTCATCCCTCACAGCTGCAGGTTGCCTTCAATAGTGCATAACCTGCTGCAGCTCAGCTTCTGCACCCATGGACTGTTTGAATGCTGTTGTCCTAGTAACCTTGGCATGTGGCAGCACATGTTAGCCAGCAGGAGTTCAGACTCACAGACACGCTGGAAAAGAGTATGAGATGTGTTTGCAAAAACCATCTGGGACATGTGGCTCTCCTGCTCTGTGCTGAATTGAGATAGACTCTGAAGATGTGCTAATTATGTCATGTAGAGAAAGACAGCAGGGAATGTACATTTACTGTTAAAACTAACATTAAAACTAGTGAGTCTGATTTTTCACAGTAAGGCATCTAAAAACTGAGCCCTGAAAAGCTTTTTAGGAGAGCTGTGAAGGACTCTTTCTCTGTTGCCCTACAGGCTTTACTGTCATTGGTGGTTATGCAGCAGAAATGTATACTGCTGTCACTTGAGAATGCTGTATTAATCAATTGTCATCAGTATACTTCAATCCATGACTTCTAACTCTGCTATTAAATTTCTGTAAGTGTAGTCTGTCTTTACAAAACTGTTTTAATAAGGCTAAACTGGGCATTCCTTATGTCTGTGGAACCTATAAAACAACAAACAAGAAGAGAATGTTCTGCAATGATGAAGAGAAAAGAATTTGTCTCTGGCTTTAAAGGAAGAATTCTCCCCCAAATGCTGGTTTTATTCTTAACTAAAATTGAAAAAATATTAGTACTTGTTCAGAAAAAACAAAGATAAGACTGAGAAGGTCACTGAAATACATCCTGAGAAGTTTTATTTCAAAATGTTATTTAAATATTGAGGAATAGTAATTTCCAAGCATAAATTTTACTTAAAACTGCATGGACTTAAGTGAAAAATGATGTGTTGTTGCTGAGGGCAAAGCATTGTTACAGTCTCAAATGTATGCCAAGGACCCTGAGTTACTGTGCAAGTCATATAACCTCTTGGAACCTCAAGTTTTTTCAAGTTAAGGGCATTGGTATTTCCACTCGTACCCTTTCCAGATCTCCAAAGAATGACTAAGTGGCTTGCTCTTACTAAGCAAATGATAGTAGGGCTGTGGTTCCCTAGTAAATCAGCCACCCTCTGCTGTGGTTTATTGGTTGCTTTTTCCCCACCAGGCTTTGTATGGGCACACTCAGGCAGTGACCTGCCTTGCTGCGTCTCTGACCTACAGCATCTTTGTGAGTGGATCTGATGACAGAACCTGCATTATCTGGGACCTGAACCAGCTGATGTACATAAACCAGCTTCCTGCCCACAGGGCAAGCCTCTGTTCTGTTGCCATCAACAATTCCACAGTAAGATCTTCATTTATCATCTTTCTTCTGATGCATCCATGAACATTTCATGATAATTTAATGGATGCTCTTCCCAACATAAAACATCCTGAGAGTCTGATACATTGATTTTTTTTCTTTCTACAGAGATTGCTAATAGTGTTCTTAATGATGAGAGGCAAGCAATAAAAGCAACATCTTAGACTGAGTAGCTAAGTAGAGGCATCTTTGGATGGGTAGATAGCAGGATTAAACCACTTTTAGTTTACAGAGCATGAAGCATTACTCTAGTAGCTCCTGGATTTGGCTCACCTATAACCTTATTGCCTCCATTATTTCATTAATTTCTCCTGACATTCATGCAGCAGAGCCATGTCAGCTGAGACATGTTAGACCTCAGTCTGCCGCCTCAGTTAACAACTACCTTACACCTTTGTGGTGACGATGTTGGCTTTTTGCTTTCCCGTCTACTCTCAGGTGCAGGGAGAGCACTTGATAGCAGTGGGTATAAGTCTGTTGTGGTCTGTGCCTTGACAGAATTGCATGCATGTTGATAGGAAATTATTCTGTATTGTATTTTGCTGTAAACACTCTGAATGAATTTTTTTCCAACCATCTACCTCCCAGAAATGTTGCTTGCACATTTGTATTTTCTATCTCTGTTAACATACTAGAGCAGGATTCCAGCTGCTCAGACAATTAGAGGTTGGATCCAGTAGTTGAGCTTGTACCAAGAGAGGCAAAATTGAGTTCATAGCAGTAAGAAACCAGGCATTCTCCATTTAATCTGTGCCAAACAGTCATCTCCTATCAGAGCATTATTAATCTTGCGGTCTGATGATTAATAATTAGAGGGGGGAGGATTAAGTAGTCTGTCCAGTGCCAGCTCAGCATCCACCCCCAGGAGTCCTGGTTAGTGTAAAATATCCAGTGCAGCAGCTCAGTTCAGAATACTCTGGAGGTGCCTTATGAAGTCAGCTGAAGCAGCCAAGCATTCAAAAATGAGGAGGTGCACTGGCACAGAGCATGGACTTGAGACCCAAAAAGGGTGGAGTGCTCTCCTTCCTATGTACCAGCCCACCCTTGACAGTAGCCTGTTTAGTTGGTAGCTCCTCTTCTGGAGCAGTCCGAAACAGGGATTGTCTGTGCCAGGAACAGTCTGGTAATTGATCCAAGCATAGTTCTACAGCTTGTTGGAGTGTAAATGGTTAAACTGATTGGACACTAGTCTGCAGAAAGGTTCATTTAAAAGAGGAAGAACCTTAAGAAAGTATGACTGAAACCTCAAGGAAATAAAGATAAAGGGGTCCATATGTTATGGATGAAGAAGTTCTTTTTGACATTAGCACAACAGAATGCTTAATTCTGAAATGGGTTTTTGTTTAAATTTTTATTTTTAAAATATTTCCATTGTGCTAAATTAAATATTTTGATTGACATAAAATTACATATTTGGTAACAAGATTTTTTCCTAGAAAACTCAGAGCAATTTGAAGCAAAGTTTTGAAGGAACCAAATCTCTGAACCATATACATTTCTGTGAAACAAGAACCCTAAATCTTTTATGTGATTGTTGACTTTTATATTTGAGCATCTAGAAACTACATTTATAGATCAAAATCTCATGGTGTTTGTATCATTTAGATACAAAATAAAAAGGCTGTCCCAAAAAATTTATAAGCTAAGGAGGATTGTAAAAGCTTGCTGTAATTAATGATTTCAGTTAGTTTTAAATCCCTGGTCTAGACCTGAAAAACACTGTAGACCATTACCAAATGCCTGGACATTATGTACTCGCATGCTGATAAGTTAGCTGAAATTTAATCTCTTTAACTATTGGCAATTCTATTTCAATTGTGCTATCCTTGTTTTATCTTCAAAATTCTTCCCTGCAGTATGAAGAGCCCTTGTCCTAAATCAGACAGGGGTGAAGTATGGTGTTAGTTGATCTAAACCAGATGCATGCTGCTAATTTAAGGGCACAGTGGCCTTTGCCAGAATCAGATGACTTTGCTGATGGTGTTCTATTTAGCTGGCTCTTAGCATGCATCAAGGATGGAAAGGTTAGGTGGAATTTCAATTAGTAACTTGATCAAAATGCACTTTTGATAAAACGTTTAAAATTGCATTGTTGTCTCATATTTCTTGCCCCTGAGGGATTACCTTTGTATTTGCTCCTTACATGTGTTCTGTAGTAAGACTGCACCTGTGTGGAAGGGAGAGGAGAGGAGATATTCAGTTGCAAAGGATGTTTTCTGCATCAGAAATGCAGATCACTGAATGCTGAGCTGGTCATTGGTCAAATGCAAAACAGTCTAAAAATGCGATGACATTAAGCTCCCTGTGAGGGGCAGAGGAGGATTGTGAAATCACCAAAGGCTTCGCAGCTAAGCAGGTGAACACCATGTCCTTGCTTAAGACAATGCTTATTTGTAAAATTTAAGAGCACTTGACCTGGCCCATTGCCTGTGCACAGTCCATGTCAGTAGCTAGGTCAGTCTGTCTCTTTTTTTGCTAAAAGCCTGGATTTTCTGGAAAATAGAAAGGGAAGGTTTAAATAAATGTTTTGATTTAAAAATGCAAAAAAGTTTCTGCATTATTTTGCCAAATCTGAGAAAGTTGTTTTGGATTTCTACAATACAAAAATGTCAACATTTTTCATGAGGAAAAAAAAAAAGCAAAAACATTTTTATTTCTCTGGTTTACATCATCTGCCCAGGAGCAAAATAAAGGTCAGAATTTAAGTCAGAGCAACACTAATTTATAATCAGCATTTAAGAGTTGTGAGGAGGTTGAGTGCAGGACTTTGAAACACTGCCTCTTGATTTTTTACAGGGTGATATTCTCTCTTGTGCTGGATCTTACCTATATCTGTGGACAGTCAATGGCCAGCTTCTCGCAAGCATTAATACCACGTGCAGCCCCAAAAACCATATTGTTTGCTGCTGCTTTGCTGAAGTGATGGACTGGGACATACAGAGCATCGTCATCACAGGAAGCACAGATGGAGTAGTGAGGGTAGGTGGATGGGAGAAAGGAAAGGGAATCCTGATGCACTGTAGAACAGAGGCAGAATTTTGCACCCTAAATGGAAGTACACAGCTACTAAAAGCCCATGTCACTGTCTTAACAGGGCAGCACAGGGCAGAAGCTGAGAATCAGAGTAAAATGTTTGCTTCCTATCAACTGTTATCCTCCTGAACAGAGGAGTCTTTGCCGTTCAGGAAGAGTTTTGAAAATGCGCTTTTCATCCTGGTGTGGTTTTGAAAGAAAAAATTATACCATCCATTGGAAATATGTTTGAGCCTGGTTTCTTGGAGTTGGCTCACAGCTCAGTTTATTAAGTCATACATTCTCAGGAGCAGGATTCACTGCTGGTTCTGCCCTCAGTCTGGTGTGAGAGCTTCCTGGGCTACACCAGTTCCCTGCGTACATTTCTCCAGTGTGACATCCTGCAACACAGTTGCAGAGGGATTGATGACTGAGAAATCCAATTCTGATGTTAGAAGTCCATTTTCAACCCTTTGCTGGGAAGCAGGCAACTGCTTCTCTCTCTTGTTGCATTGTTATAATCCATGTTTTTCCACCTTTACCTCCTTGCTGGCACAGCTGTGGAAGACTGAATATACCAATAACACAGACCAAGCTGCTGGGCTGGGACCACAGAAAAGCACAATGGAAGAGCCAGGCAACACAGGTATTGAACACAGGGTCGGCTGTGAACTGTAGTGTGACTATGTGCTGCAGACCTTGGTTGGCTGGGAGGAAGAAGAGGGTGTGTGAGCACAGTAGTGTGAAGGGGAGATGGTGCACGTTACTGGTGCAATGTTGCTGGAACCACAGCAGAAGTAGGGGGTAGCCACTGCCCTACCTTAAAGACAGAACACCCCTGAGCCACTAGTTTCATGGGCACATCTTGCCTGGATGAAGCTAAAAGCTTGTTTGTAGGCTCTGTCATGGGTTCTGCTGAGCTTAACAGACCACCTTTCTGCATAAACCTGTGAACCTAATCAATTATTCTGGCTCCAGAAAGCCCATTCCCTTGACACCTCTGCTGATGCCCTGTACTAGAGTGTCCTGGAATAATACTAGAGAGGACAGTGCCAGATCCTGCCCTGGGATGGAACATGGAATTTTGTTGTCTTTGCCACCTTAAATGAGGTCAGAGGCCCTTCAAACTGGTGGGAGGCCAGCTGCAGCTGAGCCTGGTTTCTGTTAGCATGGAGCTGTTTATTCAAGGCCATGCCAAGCTGAAGCCGATACCCTGGAGTTCTCACAGAGCTGAGGTTAATAAGATGATGGTGCTGCCGTGCTGACTGGTATTAAAAATAACTTGAGCTCGCTTCTCTGTTCTAACAAATAGAGGAGCTGAAACCTGCCAGGGAGCTTTAAAGGAACATCCTAAATAGCACAGCTTGCTTCTCTTCACACCACATTTTAGAAGAGAAAGGAATTGTGATGTTATCATGTATAATTTACACCACTTATTTGCTGTGATCCTCATTACAGACAATCTCTATTACTTTAATTTTAGGCACACAATCTGCATAAATATAGAGATATAGATGTAACATCTGCATAAAAAGATATTATACAGTAATTGGGCATTACCACTGAGATCTTCAGAAGTGCTGTTCATGGAACTTGGCATCTATGTTACTTAGATTGCAATGTGAAAATATTTATACATACAGAGGCATATTGGAAATGCCAGACTAGATGCCCATCCTACCTTTTGTCATGTCTCAAAGTAGCTAGAGCCAGATGCTTCTAGGGAAGGTGCAAGAACACCAGAGATACCAGATGTGAGCTAGTCTGGCTGCGGTGGATACATATTTGGTTTTATTGTGGTCTCTACTCAGAGATTGCTGCAAATCAAAGCAAAAGACTTAACATTCCTTCCAAAATCCTTTTAGTATCCTGTAGTCATTGTGCAAGTTCTTTTTACATGTAGGAACATCCCTTTTAAGAATTTCCTAAGTTCTTGTCCATAACTTCGTGTGGCAGATGTTTCCAGGTACTCAGGTACCCAGGTACAACTGCTTAGGCATGTCTTTGGACAAACTGAGATTTTAGCTATTTTAAAAATTTCTACCTTAAACAGTTTTCTAAATGTGGGCTTAAAAGCTGCCCTTGGGAGCACAGCGGAATACTCCTGTTTGTGCCTTTTTCAGAAAGGACCATAGAAGACATGCATTGAGCACAGGCATCTGGTGATGTGTAGACACACACATCTGTTTGTACATGAATACATGTATACAGCAACAGCATTCTTTATTAGAGTGGAGAGGTGTAATCAAAGCAGTGACATGCTCCCTTTAACTAGTCAGATGACTTCAGAATTATTTTAAATGGCCAAATACTCCCAAAGTTCATTCCGTGCATTAAAGAAAATAAAATTAATACCAACCACAGTCATTAAAAAGACCGAAGTAACTATGATTGAGTTATGTTAGGGGTGTGTATGTATGTATGTGTGTGTGTATGTGAAATGTTCTCAGCATTTAATTATTGATTCTGTTATGAGCAGATTTAGATAAGTTGATAATACCGGGGCTTTATGTAATTTCTTTTTACTAGGCAATTATGGGCTGTATTATATCCTGGCAGCAAGGTATTGTGGGGCATCTTATTAAGCATAGAGCCAGTGAAAACTGATGAACAATTTTGCTGAACTAGGCATGCAATTTAGAAAGCAATAATACACAAATCCAATTTAGTACACAATTGATACAGCCGCACGTCAGCACATGTAACTATCATAGCCACAAATTAAATTGGGATGGGCCTATTTTGCAACAGCACAGGCTGAGATTAAATATATTTGTTCTCAACTTAACAACTTGCTGACCGTAAATAATAACAATCCCATCCATGCTGCCCCCAGACACTTTCTAAATATTTATTTTTAAACCACACAACAGGTAACAAGTGTGGAAAACATCTTGTTCTCTGTCGGGAACTGAATCCCAGCCTTGCCTTGACTGGAAAACCAAGTAAGACCAGCCCAGCAGTGACCGCACTGGCTGTATCCAGGTACTGTCCTTCCCTTTGCATTCCAGCCGGGGTCCAGCAGGGGGCACGGTGTTGGCCTTGGAGTCTCCACCGCTCAGCCCTACATCGTCATGGGTTTTGATTTTACTACTGATGGGGGTTTATGTTTGGGGGTTTGTTGTTGTTTTAGGGTTATTTGTTGTTGTTTGTTTTGGCTTATTTGATTTTTTTTTAAATCTTGGTGGTATCACTTTTGGCCAAACACAGTTATTCTGGGAGCTGGTCAGATAGGAGCAACCCAGGAGAGAAATAACTAGGTTTCAGCCAGAATACTTGTAAAGATCTGCAGCTGCTACACTGTCTCTGCACCATAGAAGAAGCGCTATCCTAGATGTTGCTAAAGATACTATCTCCTTAAAATGTAAACAGGAACTTTTTGGCCAACAGACAAACAGTTTGCACAGCCAGCAATATTTTAGTTTACTCAGTCCTCCTTCTGCAGTTTCATCTTGCTTTAATATTTGTTGTTGTCTCCTATTCCAAGATGTTATGATGTACTGTGAAACATTTGCTATCTTTCTCTCCACAAGTGTTGGAATTTTGATAGTTACTAAAATTATTCCTATATTCTTCATTCTCAGCTTTAGAGCTTTTAGTGAGTGTGATGTTTATATGCATTGAAAGTGGGAAACTTGAGGGTGGGTTAGTTTCATTACTGTTGGTGGCACTGAATGCAGCAGATTTCAGGGGGTGATGCCATGACATTACGTGGTAACAAGTCTGAATTCTGAATCTGGCCAGCAGATTATTTAACATTCATAGAGTCTCAGAGGAGGGTAAGAGCTTCTGATCTGGCTAGATTGTCCACAGCTAACCCACTGAACTCTGGGGAATTTGGATGCACTTCTAAGTTCAATCTTTGAAATACTTTGTCTTCTTACAGTCTTTTTCTACTCAGTATGCTTGAAATTCAACATTAAAGATAACCTACTCCCCTGAATGTTGCATCCTTCTAATTGCTACACATGCAGGAGAAAGCCTCAATCCCATTTGTGTATTGTTCTTAAACCTTTTTCTCTTCTTTTTCTTTCTCAAGAAATTCCTCCAAGCTTCTAGTTGGTGATGACTGGGGAAGAGTCTGTTGCTGGTCTGTGGATGGGTAGGAAGAAATAGCCAAGAACTCTTGATTTTTCAGCCTTTTTGATGGAGAGAAAATTACCCTTCAGAGCATGAATGAATCAGAGAAACTGGAAGCCTATGGCTGGGGACTGAATTGCAAAGGAGTTATTGGACTGATGCTGCAGTCGAGTCTAATGGAAATTTTGGAGAATGGACTCCAAAACTGTGAGATATTGACAGACACATGGACAACAAGATTTTGCAGTATTTGTCCTAAGAAACTTTTTGTATTTTAAATACTATTTTAGATATAGAATGGCATACTACATTGCATTTCATAAATAATAGCTAGCAAATAAAACTGCCTTCATTATGACAAAGAACAATGTAGCTTAATAACATTAACATTCTAATTTTAATACGATAAGGTCAGAAAATACTGGGGTTTCAAACAGATGTTAAGTGATTTTGTTGCAGTATCTTTGTTCTTCCTAACATACAAGCATGTTAATATCTCCATTACAGTCTTCCTCCTTTCCTGCATGAAAATGTATGCATGCCTCCTGAAAAGCTATTTTCTTTGCAAAGTGAAGGTAGGAATTCCCAGGTTGATAGTGGTGCTTTTACCAAGCCCCATTCTGAGCATGTGTTATGATGCAATCTTTAGTTTCCTAATCTCTGATTTGTTCTTCTTGGAATGGGTGAGGATGAAAGTCTGACACAGGTGGTCAGCATATTCTTTCGTTCTTCTCCTTCACTGACTTCTTTCCTGGCCTTGTCCCAGTGTTCTCTGGAATATCAGTATACGAGACATACTTCAGGATTTACTTTCACAATTACCCTGCATGGTAGAAGTGGGTATTTGTAACATAAGAAGGCTGAGGCCAAAATGTAATAAATTTAAGTGCCATTTGTGTCCCTGGTGGAAATGGAGAAAGTGTGAGAAATCAAGCTCCTTAACATTTTATGAGAATTTGAAGGAGCTAAACTGATAACTTTATTTCCTTTCTGCCCTGCCCCTCCATGACCTGCTAAAGAAATCGAGTATCTTATCTTACGCACAGAAGGGCTGAGTAGCCACTTAGGCAAGGCAACTTCCTGAACACTGTAAACTGGGTCAGGGCAGAGCCAGGAAGAACACGAAGGACATTATTGGCCATGAAGGCCTTTGTATTCATACCACCAAACACACCCCTGACAGAGCCAAGGTTGCTCCCTGATTTCCACTGCACTGGGACTGGTTAGCCCTGCAGGAGTGAAGCCCTGTGTGTGCTGCACTGGACAGCCAGAGATTGAGGAATATGAAGAACTGCCATATACCAAAATCTTGGCGCTAGAGACTCGCCAGCATCATTAGAAAGAATCTGTTTTTACCAGTCTTCCTTTAACTATACCATCAACTTTCTTCTCCCTGTAGGACACTGCTTTGTTCATGACTCTTCTTTTGAATCATGTTGCTGAATGAGCAAGACTTCCTATGGCAAACCACTTCCTTTGTTACACAGTGCTGTGATGTCCCTGCCCCCACACACCCCAAAGCTTGGTCTAATCTACACAGTGAGTGAGGTAATCGCCTGTGGAAACTGTATGATATAAAATGTATAATTGTACATATATAATGTATAATGCAGACATACAAGGAAGGCTGCATTATATCTACACAGATGACCCAGCTGGTTATCCTTTCTATCCTACAAGTACATGACTTGATGACTCTAATGCTATCCTTTCTGTGCTCCATGAAACATACACTGAAAATAGGCCAAAATACACCAGTGTTTTTGCAATCAAAGTAACCCTTTGGAGCAGTGGTGGATCAAGTCCATCTTCCCTTTTCCTGAGGACTGGGAAAAGGTCAGTTGTCATAGAATGCTGCAAAATTGAGTACACTGCTTCTTTCTTGTTCCCTCTTCACATTTCTTAAAAATAAGCTGTGATTTGGGTACATGGAGAGCAAGACTTGGATTCCTGTCAACTGTGAATACAGCTTTACTGAACCATGATAAAGGTGATTAAGAGCCATGAAAGACACTAACTACCTGTGTTTTCATTTACCTACTAGGCATCTTGATAGCTTGCTAATTGTGTATCCTCCCTTAGCTTTCTCATGCAGCCTGTCTGCCTGTCTTTGCCAATAGCAGATACTCCCTCTCCTAGAGCTGGTGCTGATAACTACTTTGCAGCCTGGACAGCTACACTAATGACTCCAATGCTCTAGACATCATCCTGACTTCGGTATAAGAAGAGGCCAGCTGTAGGCTAGGCATGCATGGATTTGACAGGCTCATCTCCTTGTGCTTAAAATCAGTTCTTTTACACCCTCAGGAGAAGAATGAGGTACATCAGCTGTTGTTTGGGATCACAGAAAACAAATCCAGACTGTACATGTGAATAGAAGTTAGTAGGTTAAGAATTAATGTCTTCCTGGGTCAAGCCTGTTCTAATGTTCAGGGAGCTGTAATTTTGGGGAGAATATAGAAGGCAAATGGATAGAAGTGGGTTGCAGTTTCCTCCTGGTGAAAATTCTGATAAGGAATGATTTTCTGTGCTTGGTTGAGAAAGTTTTAATTTCTTCTCTAGCTCTAGAGGATTTTTCCTCAAGGTCATAAGTCATGGAAAGAAATGCATTCTATGAGTACCAAAAGAACCCATTCCTTGCTTGAAGAGTTAAGGCACAAATGTAAGCATGTTGCAGTCATCAATTTTCTCAGGTCTAATACAGCCAGTGTGTGCTACAGTGGTAATGGTACCTGACCATTTTTCTTCAGGCAAGTCTCTGTGACATGAAGGTTTTGCTAGAAATTTGTAATACATGATTGAGCAATTCGCTGAAACTAAACCCCCTTACAAGCACCTACTTCTGTGTATTCGGTAAATGACTGTCTGTCAGCTCCACATATGGAGGTAGCTTCCACCAACACATAGTCAAGGCTTGGTGCTACCTCAGGGGCGATAGTGGTGCCTGCTTAGTGGGTATCCTGATGTGATTCTCTAACGGTCATATGGGACGTAGGGGTGGCAGATCTAGAATATGCTTGACAAATTAAGCAAGTAGAGCAATTCCAGAGGAAGTACTTTGAGCACAACTTTATTGTTACTGCAAGTGTCACAACATCAACAGAGTGTTGTAATTGTCTCAGAACCAACTTTTTCAATGGGTAAGTAGCTCAAGGTGAGAATTACTCTTAAAAGAAATCCAATCCCATTAGGATAAAACTGTGGGAAAAAGTCATAGACTTTAGTCTGCCCTCTAGGGAAATCAAGCACAACCTTTATGTGACTTTGAACATCAGTCTAATGTAACAGAGGACCATAAACCCTGGAAGGCATTAATTGCACTTCTTTGGTTGTGGCACAGACCATGTTGCTTCCATGTCTGGCAGTAGAAGTCTTATAAATGTTACAGTGAGCATTAAATACTGTCTGATCTCTGTAGCTTTGTTTTTTAATAAACACTAGTGAAGCAATAGCTGCAGAGCTGCCTGTGCACTGCAGGGCCTTTGCATCCTCAGAAAAAAGAATTTGCTCAAACCTTTTTTTGAGAAATTCATGCAAACTAACCTGTAACTCCCTCAGGGAAGTTTTCTCTGTGATTGTAACCACGTGCTACTGTTCCCAAGTTCTTTTCATACAGGGATCTCAAAGATTGTTGCAAGAGCATATTAATAAAAAGATCATCACATTCATGATTGCCTATGGCTGTGACAAGGGAATTCGCAGTTGCAGAACACCAGAGCTAGTAAGCAAGCAAAAAACATATCTTTATTGTGACAGTGGGACCGTGTATGTCGTAAACAAGGGATTCCAGTAGTGTTATTGAAATAACCAGAGTTGCTGCCAGACTATGAGGTGATTTAGTTGAGAAGGTGAAATCCTTACTTGTGTAAGGACTCAGTTGCCACCTTGCTGGTTGTAGCAGCCTGTAGTGTTCATGGTGGCTGTCTGAAGTTTTGGGCGGCTCTTGGCTCTTCAGAGCCCTATTATGAGCTGAATATATACTCTGTATTTGGGCTGTATATTTACAGGCCCTTCTGTGGCAGTACTGGGACTGTGATAAGTGGGAGGAGGCCCACTAGAAATCTACTCAAGCAGGTCTAATTGTACCAAATAGAACAGCTCAGTAGAGTGGAAAATAGTCCTTATATATCTATCTGAAGAAGATAATGACCTTTTAAATAACAGAAGCAATTTTATTTCAATACCCCAATTACTCTGAACTCTCAAATGTCAGAGTGCCAAGCGCTTTCAAAATAACTTAATTTAGACATTTATAGCACTTAGACACTGCTAGTTTCTTATCTAACCTAATTATGGGTTGTACAGGAAATTGCAAAGCATCCCAATTAATGTTATTTTTTATAGTGATATATAGGAGTGGCCTTTACCATTTGCCATCGTCATGTACATAATGATTTACTAATTTTGGCTTTTGAGCTAGTTCCCTGGCAGATCAGAGCTCTTCTATCCTCTGGTTGCTTTTTGAGAGCAAGCAAAGAGGAAGCAGAGTTACAAGGGAGCATAGCTGTTTGCCTGAGGGATATGAAGGACATGTGTCCCCTGAGAGTAGAGTGCATGTGTAAGGCAGGACCATTTAGGGCGTAGAGGTGCCATATAGAATAATAATGACTGGCTGTCAATCTTGTTGATCCAATCTGATCTGAGTACTTAGGCCAGGATTCTCCACTTGCTTGTCTCCCACAGGACTAGTGCAAGGGAATGAGATCTGTAAAGCTGCTTAACTGGCTGCCTGAAAAATCCCTTCACAGATGCTGCTGAGCAGTTTCCCTTCTAGTTGTTATGCACAGCAGGCAGAATTAGAGGTGAAAGAAGTGGTGTAGCACCACTGAACAGTATCCAGTGATTTCTTGTTTACTTTCATGGTAAGGGGAGGACACATGTCCGGTTACCATGTTTGAAAGTAATAACTGTTGCTTGTCCCCAGGTGCTTTTTGTGCTCCATATTTTATGTGATGTCTTGGTCCTGTGTTTTGCTCTCCTCTGGCATCAGGAGAGAACTGTTAGCAGTCAGAGAAGTTCCTGCAGG